GAGCTTGTGTTGGCAGAAGCCTGAATAACAATGTCTTGGAGGCAGTTGTGAAGGGGTGGTTAGACTGCCAGGATTTTCATCTTAGCCCCACTACTAGGCAGGCTGTAAGACTGAAACCTCTCTGCACCTTACTTTCCTCATTTGTAAAATGGGACAATTATAGCTCCTGCTTTCTACAGTTATAAGGATTGAGGTAAAACACTTAAAGCATTTAGAACAATGTGCAGTATATATAGCAGGCATTAAATAAATATTAGCTATCACTTGGGAGGTTTGGCAGGCTATTTGATTATAACCTTAAAAAATGTAAATTAACAAGTTTTTTCTTTTTTCAGTGTCACTTCACATACAGCTCTGTAACTGAAGTTAGAAATGATTTTTTTTAAGTTTGTGAGAAAATTCTCCAGATTAACACATTCATGAGTCAGAAAAGAGTGCAGAAGAATCTATAACATTTACATTGGTTCAAATAGGGAAAAAGTCTTTTATCCTTTCCATACAGAAGAAATGCTGTTTGCAATTAACGTATCAGTATGTCATATCTTCTTCCACATTAAAATGCATTAAAAGAACACATTAATTTCAAGTGATTTTTGAAAAATACTTGTCCCTAGAGTTCAAACTTTTTCAGAAAAATCCCCCAACACAGAGGCATAGAATCTTAGTGATTATTTACTTCTAAAATGAGAATAATGCCTCCTCCCTCCAAACGTAGAATTGAATGAGCTAATGTCTATCAGTGTGCCTTCTGAACCATAAATTGAAGTTTCTGCATTTTGTCTTATAAGCATTACCTCCTTTGAAGATATAAAATTGTTCAGCTGAACAGAAACATACTAATATTGAAAATTTAACAAATGCTGCAAAAATTAACCAGTTATAAGTTAAACTGTACTCAGAATCGGACTGAAATTTTCAAAACAAACATTTTGTGACATTTACAACAGTTAAATAGCACACTTCCTGGTCTCATTAAAAATTTTTCTAGAGAACATATTGATTATTAGACTGGCTGCAATATCTCCTTGAATAAGTTTCTTCATATGTAAAAATATTTTTTCTCACATTTGTAACTCATATTTAGACATTTCACTAACTTTTTTGTTCAGATGACATTTAAACGTTACAAATAATACTGAATGAGTGAAGCACTGGTTAGCCACAATAATTAACAGAGTGGAAGAGTGGCAAATTTTCTGCACACATTTCCTTTTAGTATTTTGCCTCTCACAGTCATTCTGAATGTAGGTATTCTCTGCCTGCTCTTTGAGGGCATTACTTTTGGAGAATTACTTGGTTTTAAATATTGTCCCATTTTGCAGTTCTCACAAATATGTAAAATGTTCAGTAAATTTTCTACTTAACAGAATAAGCAAAGACGGCCACATATACTGCCTGGTTTGCAATGTCACAACTAGATTTAAGTGAACACTTGCAGTACCAACTAATCTTTTAGTTAACAGAAAAGTAACTCAGAAGAACACCTTCAGAATGAAAACAGTTGAAATCCGGTCTTTCAAGAGGCAAAGGATAGCTCTAATTACTGGGTTCAAAGGATTTAATTACTTTATTACACATAGCAGTAGGCATTAATATTTATGTAAAAAAATCCATACCTTTTTAATTAAAAGTTGATAACAAAACCTGGCCGTTCAGGTGCTTCTCCTTGTTTTAATGAATTTATGCTTATGTATTGCTGGTCATAGAAATTTTGGAGGTAGAGAGAGAGGGAGAAAGGGACAGAGAGAAATTTCTGAAACTCAGATTTCCCTAATTGCAGAGTTGCTCTTTATTATCTTAGTGGGACTTGCAGTCTAAACAGGAGTTTGAAAGTGATATGGCAGACAAAATTAAACACATTTGAAAAGACCCTATTTTCTTACGTCTTAGGTTATCCGTTAATTTTTTTTCTACCCCTTCTTTTAAAAGAAATCAAATGGTCAAAAGTGACAATATCCTTTGCTACTGGTTATTAGAACAAGTATCTGATATGTAGAGTTATTGCAACAACTCTTTCATTCTGTCAACTTTGGGTAAGGCTTTAATACTTTTATGTGTTTCTTCAGCGTCAAGCCATATCAGCACAATCATAGTGGGTATTTAGGTGGCCCTAAAGGTGTAGAGCAGCTGTTTGGGGTAACTTAAAACTTCGACCTAAGGCAACATTTTGAGAGATCAAGAGCATTTTCTTTCACACCCGTAGTCCAAAGAAACAGCATTCCGTCCATCTACATTCCATTGCAGTTTCAATCAGTTTAGTTTCTACTTTCATTCAAAAACTGGTGAAAAATCCTGTCAGATTTGGGTTTCAACAACGGATGGCAGCCATTAACCACTTGCAACAAAGGCTGTTGGGGGATTAAAAAAGAAATGATTATGTTTGTAAAACACAAAAATGGCCATAGTTGTCTAAATATACAACCGTTCACTATTAATTACTGAATTAAGATCATAGAAGAAGTGAAGTACGGCCTTTTCAAATGTATTTGATTCTTATTAACATATCGCTTTCAATATTTGTGAGCGCCTACATCTTTGCACCTAGCACAGAGCTCCACATTAACGATTTAAAAAGACATAGTCCTGCTTTTTCGGTTCAGTGGGGGAGACCACAGATAAAGTAACAATGTGTCAGACCTTTAATACAGGACAGACACTGACGTTAAGGACGTATTTCTATTCAATAATAGGACTACAAGCGAATGGGGACATTCTTTACTTTTTGAGGGATGGGATGAGGGAAAAAGTTCAGAGAAAACTAAAGGTAACATGTTGAATTGACAACTAGAGATTTATCAAAATTCTGCGAACGACTTAGTTCTAATTCCTGAAATAGGATTGTAGCTCTGTAGATCTGTGAGCTTTTCTGAATCAGATTTAACCATAAGCTTTTGGACCCCAACAACCTAAATTTAAAAAAATTTAAAAATTTTCTCCATACTTTTGCAGCTTACTTTGTTGTTTTATAATTTCTGGGCGAGAAGTACATCCTCGATTAATAAGAAATACTTAGAGCTAGAAGGTTTTGACATGTAACGCCAAAGAAGCAACTTCTGGTAAATTGCTCTCCAATTAAACCTAACATTGCTTCTGTAGAAGTATGCTCAGACCCATGAAATGTGTTTTTGCTTGTCTGCTTTTCATACTGGAATTTCAGATGGCTTTTTCTTTTCTAGTCTTAAAAGGTATTCTTCACTTATGCTATCGTGACGGTGCCCCTTGCCTCTTTAAGTCAAACCTATGGGGGCTACCGCCTGGACAACTGCACGAGAAAGGCATCGCTGCAGAGAACAAGTTCCACCTGTTGAGGTCAGCTGGTTTCCTGGGCTGGCCTGTTTCCTCCCTCCAGGTAAGGACGGATTGCAATCACCCCCTCTTTAAAGAGGTGCGCAGGCAGTTAACTGCGAACAGCTGAAGCAGCTGCCCGGCTGCCTCACCCCTGCCCGTCGAAGGGCGAGGGAACCGCATGGCAGCCACAACTGCACTGCATAAGAGGCAATACCCATCGTGGGGCGCCACCAGCTTTCCATGAGCCACGCGGCTCCCGAGGCTGGTCATTCCCCCAGGGGGCGAGGGCGGCACGGGCCGGGGGCGAACCCAGGTGCGGGGAGAGGAAGGAGGGCTCCGCCACGCTCCCAGGCAGAAAACCTGACTCATGTCGTGGCGGCGGCGGGCTCCTGGGAACTGAAACTCGTGATGCTGCTGCTGCGGAGAAAAGCCTCATTACCCATTCTGCAGGCGGGGGACACTACTCTGGGCGCGCACACCCAGCCCCGGCCCTCCAGCAGCCCCCGCGGGCCCCCCCGCCGCGCCCCCTCTCCGGCCCGCGCGCGCGCCGGCCGCGTGTATCGTATAACTTCGTATAATGTAT